TGCTCCTCCGCCCCGCCCCTAGGGCCCCCCAGTTCCACAGCTCAGCCCCTCCCCGGGACCGGTTCTCAGGCTCCACCCTCCAACGTTTATCACTGCGGCGCTATTGCATCCTGACCCTACCCTGCCTCTCCCGTCCTGATCCTGCCCCCGGGCCCCGCCTCCTGCGACCGTGCATTGCCACACCCTTCGGCCACCCACTTGACTTTTCGTCCCGCCCCCCGCGAGCAGGCCACGCCTCCCGGAGTCTTAAGTTTTCTAGAATCTGTTGCCTCCTTGCTTCCTTGTGCGTTAGCAGTAGTGGCACATTTAACCCGCACGTAGCGATTGCTCGACCAAAATTCACAGCGACAAGACTGCTACAGACACGCAAAAGGTCACACCACTGGCAAGAGGAACAGACAGCCGCGCCCAGAGGTCCCTCCCACACCAGTCACGCCCCTTGCTGGTTGTGGCTTTTTTTCTAAAGCCTCAACCGTGGCTAATAAAACCTCAAGCCCCTCCCTGCCCGCTGCTCCCTTGCTTTGCACTATCGAGACTCACCCACCTGAGCCCCACAGACTTCCATCGCCCTCTCCTCTCCTTCCGTCCCTACCTCCTACTTCAGAGAAACTGCCAGGAACCCAGTCCTCTCTTCTCTCGGTTTTATACACTCATTCCACGTATCAAAAGTAACTGTGGTGAGGGAAAGTAACTCAGCATTGTGCTAGCCATTTTCCTCTCCTTGTGTCATTTATCCCTGCCCCATTCCTGACAGGAAAATAACAGCAGCAACGACAAATCTAGCGTGGATGATTCCATGTTGGTCTGTTGGGGCTGTTGCAGGAGCTAAACCCGAAACAACCAACTACCCATAGGTCACCTGAGCAGCCAAACCTTAGGCATGGAACGCAAGGAGAACTCAACAACGGCAGAGCACTTGCCGGGCTGCATGCCCTCATCCGCGGGGTGTGTGGGTGAAGCTGTCTTTAGCTCCATTTCTTCATTTATGTTGCAAATATTCAAACCCCAGCACTCGGGAGGCAAGAGGCAGACGGATCTCTGTAAACTGGAGGCCTACCTGCTCCACCTGGCGAGTTCTGGCCAGCCAGGGATACACAGTGAGACCATGACTCAAAAATAAACAACAAGAAGATAAAAACAAATGACAGCATACGATCTCAACACGAGGCATGGGACAGAAAACACATCCCCAGAAACCTCGATCGCGGGCGCGGAAAGTGTCAACCTTATTCACCACCCCCTCCCGGTGTCTATGTCCCAGTCTAGAACATTCTTGCGTTTGGTAAACAGAATTTGGAGTCTTGCATTCTAGGCTTGGGGCAAGTCATCGGCCCTCTCTGAGTCTCAGGATATGGAGAGACGGACTACAGAGAATCCCTAAGGTCCGCTCAAACTCTGACGCTCTAGGATTCTATGAATAGGGCTAAAGTGAACTGGGACCAGCGACTGCGTCCCCGTCCTAGCAACTGTTGCTAGACGTAGGCCACCTTCTGGCAACCCCTGGAAACCCTTCCCGGTTCCCGGAGGTCTTCCTGGCATCCCGTGATGCATAGCGACTCCGCCTCGCTAGGAGGCACGCTCTGGCCTCGCTGGTCAGGATCCAGCCTTCGGACCCAGCAGAAGAGCGCGCTCGGTTCCTATAGCAACCACGCCGGATCCACGTGCCTACGGCGAGTGGCTGCGGCCAAAAAGATCGCCTACTGCTAGGCCTAACATGGTCTGCGCGCGCGTTCTCTGCGCGGGGGCTTTAAGTGTCACGTGACAACCCGAGCCTGAGCCCCGCCTCTTTCTCCTCCCCAGGTGCTCTGGTGTGGACTGGAAGCACCGGCCCCGGCGGATTCACTGGAGCACGGACGCTGCGGCCGGTTGGGCCGGTGCCCTTTCCCGGTAACTCCTTCCCGGCGTGACGCGCGGACGCGGCGGGGCCCGACAGGCTCGGTGATCTCCCGTCAGCTCCTCCGCGTCCTCAGCCCGTGCTGGGCCCTGGGGGACCCGAGAGCCGACAGGAACCGGGGCGGCGGGGGAGGGGGCCGCCTCCCGGAAGGTCGCGACCCGGGAGGGCGCCCGAGGCGGAGCTTGAGCCTGCAGAGCCTCCCGGGAGCCGCCACCGCCTGCCTTTGGGGACGCCGAGGGCTACCTGTTGGCCGGTGCGTCCTCTGCACTGAGGCCGGCCCCCTGGAGCTGGAGGGTGTCAGCCAAAGAGCTACCCCACCGCACCCACACGAGGCTGGCACTCCACCCACCCTGCTTGAGGAAACCCCTTGCCCACCTTACTCTTTCCCACCCTCGCCCATGAAGATCCGTCTAGGTGACGGTAGTGTTCACTCCCACCCTGTCAGCACGACACAGGTCTAGGTCCTAGAGTGGTGGTGGACAGACCCCCCCCCCTCATCTAATCCCAAAGCCAGGTGAGCTCAGAACAGGTTGTCTTAAGGGAGAAACTGGCTTGCCTGTCCGTAGACTTTACTTAGCATGTGTGCAATTCTAAACAGTGGCCAGCTGTCTGTGAAGACTCCCAAACAGTGATTGTCTTGCAATTGTCAAAATCCACCTTCCTGAGTAAGGTGTCAGCCACTGAACCTTAACACTGTGAGGTCAAGATAAATGTGACCCATGAAAACTGTGTGGCGTAAAAGAGCATAGCCCTGTGTGGGTCTCCAGTACCACACCATCTCCTCATCAACCAGCCAAGACTATTCCAAAACCCACATTGAGCTCACCCCTTCAGCTGAGTTGGAGTTTTAGCATTTTAAAGCCATGCAGATTCAAGTCTTTCCTGTTAGTGCTCTTTAAATGGAACCTAATTTCTTCTTAACCACTTTTTCATATCTGAAGTTTCCTTGGTCAATAACCAAATTGCTAACCGGATTAAAGAATAGCTTTTCATTTTCTTGTTTAAATGAACATGGTGGAAAAAATAGCAAGCTTTCTGAACATTACTGTGCAGTTATTTTCAAAATGTTTTGCTTTCATTTTTATTTAGTGCCCAGAAATGCCACAATGATCCCAGACTATAATTTAATACATGATAAATCGGGTGATGAGTTTATGAGTTTACTTAATACTCACTCAGTGAGCTACTCTGAAGCCAATAATTTTAAGTTTATTGTCAGGATACATAAATTGTGCATTTGAGATGTGGTCTCCTGGTTATTCTGAGTGTATTCTCACAGTTGCTACTTATTTCAGCTCATTCATTTTCCGTCAATTTTTATTTTGTTTTGCTTTTTCAAGAGAGGGTTTTTCTGTGTATCCTGTGTCCTGGAACTCTGCTCTGTGGACCAGACTAGCTCTAGCCTTCAGCTCAGCTATCTCCCTCCCTCTGCCTCCTGAGTGCTAGGATAAAAGTGTTCTTGCACCACCGCTACCCAGCTTGGTTTTGTTTTTGTTTCAAGATAGGGTCAACTAGATTGACACATTCCCATTTCTAAAAATATCTAATTCTTATTATATCTGTATCTCCTCACCTAAAAAAGCAAGACCATCCAGGTTTCTGCCTCTGGAACTTAAAGCTACCTTTTAATCATTTCAGCTCTCAGAAGGAAGAGAGATGGAGGTGAAAAAGCTGAGCGTCTCCTGGCAGTTCTGGATAGTTCTCTTTCTGACCCTGCAAGGTCTGTCTGCGTTGGATTTTGACCCATACAGAGTCCTGGGGGTCAGCCGCACAGCCAGCCAGGCTGACATTAAAAAGGCATATAAGAAGCTCGCCCGGGAATGGTATGTGAAACCAAGAATGGAAGTTTAACATCCGCTAAGCAGTAGGCAGGTGCCTGAAGCCTGAATTATGATGGCTTGTCTGTTTCTGGGTTCAATATATATAGCTGTCTAGAGTATTGGTGCTCAGCTAGTAGCCTGTATACTCTAATGATCACAAAGTCTGTGCTTACTTTGACACACACACCCTTCAAGAATACTATGGCGGGGCTGGAGAGATGGCTCAGAGATTAAGAGCACCGACTGCTCTTCCAGAGGTCCTGAGTTCAATTCCCAGCAACCACATGGTGGCTCACAACCATCCCTTATGAGATCTGGTGCCCTCTTCTGGTGTGCAGATGTACATGGAAGCAGAATGTTGTTTACATAATAAATAAATTTAATAAAAAAAAAAGAATACTATGGCTTAGAGCAGTCTTAGGTACTGTTGGTATATTTAATGTAAAAGTAAGAAATAACTTTGAAGGCCTTTAATCCCAGCACTCTAGAGGCAGAGTCAGGCAGCTCTCTGTGAGTTCCAGGCCAGCCTGGTCTACAAAGCAAGTTCCACGACCAGCCAGGGCTACACAGCTACACAGAGAAACCCTGACTCAAAAAAACAAGAAAAAAGAAGTAATTTTGATTAAAAAAAAAAAGTAATCTAACTGAACTCGATACCCTATACTTACAATCCCAGCACTTGGGAGGCAGAGGCAGGAGGCTCACCCACCCCAAGTTGAGGATTGCCTGGGCTGCATGACAAGCCCCAGGTCCAAATAAATAAGGGAAGTAACCAACAGTGATAAGCTGCCTTTCTTGTGGCAGCATATTCTGGTTTTTAAACAGTAATTCTGCTTTTTAAAGATTTTATTTCCAGTTATGTGTTTATATCAGAAGAGGCTGCTGGAGTCACAGGCAGTTGTCAGCTGCCCGATATGAGGGCTGGAACTGAACCCAGGTCCTCTGCAAGAGCAGCAAGTACTCTTAACCACTGAGCCTTCTCTCCAGCCTCTATGAAGCAATTCTTTATGGGTATAAATGCTATAGAGAATATTATACAGCTCGGTTCTCTAAATCTCTATGCTTTAAACAAGTTCAAAGTAAGTCCTTTGGCCTCCATTTTAAAAGGAGTCTCGAG